TGTTGTCACTTCTGGCTTTTTCTGAGACAAAACCCTCGGCTGCTTTTCCTTCAGCGTGGAGAACAGAGAAGGTTGGCTCCTTTGGTTAAATCAATTAATTTATCCTGTTGTTTGCTGGTTGGAGAGATGGAGAGGAGGGACAGCTCTTCCTGGGTTTTGTCCTGAGCTCTGCGATGGAGACGAAACATCAGTCTGCCCTGGGTGACCTGGGGGGATTTCTCCCGAGGTGCTGGCATGTTCTCTGAAATCCCTTCGTTCTCTATACAGCATTCCCGTTATCCATACGTTTCCGCGGCACAGGGGTGTCTGGCACCGCGCGGACTGAGATGATGTTCCATGTTCAGCCCTTAAATGAAAGTGCTGAGGCACTGGCACAGGTTGCCCAGAGAAGTTGTAGATGCCCCATCCCTGGCAGTGTTCAAGGCCAGGTTGGATGGGGCTTTGGGCAACCTGGTGTAGTGGAGGGTGTCCCTGCCCATGGCAGGGGGGTTGGAACTGGATGGTCTTTGAGGTCCCTTCCAACCCAAACCATAACTGTGGTTTTTTTTCTTTCTCCTCTTCCCCCCCCAGCTTGCTTTGGCAATAGCAGACCTTGCCCTGCAAATGGCTTCTTGGAAAGGCTGCGTGCAAACGCTGGTTGAAAAGTAAGTGGCTGTTTATATCCTCGATTCCTAAATCATTCCATGAGTAAACGTTGAGTGGGTGGACCCGGATGCTCCGAAAAAACACGCAGCAGCGAGCAGCCCGACTGTAGGAAAGTTTTTCTTTCTTGATTAATAATGGGAAGCGTTTGGGATCGCGGCAGGGAGACGGGGAGGCAAAGTCGCAGAGGCCGTGCGCGTTCCCGGACACTCAGCCATTTTCCTCATCCCTCTTTTTGTTCCGTCCTCATCCCCTCCGGGCTTTGGCCGTCACGTGGGATGGAGCCGTTCGCTGGGCTGGCACGATAACGCCCGGTTTCTGCGCGGTGGCACTGCCCCTGCCCCGCGTTTGCCGAGGCGGGACGCCGCGTGCCGTCGCACGGTGACGCCGGGGCACGTCACCGCGCCAGGGTGGACCCTGGTGTTTCCGTAGCGGGAGGGAAACTGGTTTATCTGGGCAACGGTGCTGGGACTCGACGTGCTGGTGGGCTGGGAAAGCTTTTGTCATTTTTCCATTGAAAAATGTTGAGCCGAGCTGCCAACAGAGGCTCTTCCTGATGGCTCTCCACCCCGGAGAGACGCTGGAATGTTCATGGAGATGCTTGTGCTGTGTCTCTCCGAACCGCCCCTCCGCCTCCCGCCTGCTGGTATTTCAGTTTTCCGCGCGCTCTTGCCTCTCCCCTGCCTTCACGCGCCGTCCTTCCCGTTGTTCCCAGGTACAGCAATGACGTGACATCCCTGCCCTTCCTGCTGGAAATCCTCACGGTGCTGCCGGAAGAGGTTCACAGCCGCTCGCTGCGCATCGGAGCCAACCGCCGTACCGAGATCATAGAGGATCTGGCGTACTACTCCAGCACGGTCATCTCCCTGCTGGTAAGGAGAGCGAGCAACCACCGAGCTCTCATCAGCTGCTAAAGAAGCTCCTGCAGCTGCTGCTCCCCCCCCCATCACCCATCCAGGTTATTCCTCATGGAGGTGCTGCTCCCCTCCACATCACCCATCCAGGTTATTCCTCATGGAGCTACTGCTCCCCTCCA